CAAAGAAAAATATTAAGACAAAGACGAGGATGAGCATACCGAAAAAAAGTAAAGATGCTGATAGAGGATGAAAGATCAAAATAAAGGTAATTATAAAGAAAAGGATATAGATAGAGACACATACCTGGTTTGTACCTACGCAAGAACCGCATTAACAAAAAGCCGAGTTGACTCAACACATATTTCTTTTAAGCATTTTTACCTGTGTCTTTATACCGCACTCTCTGAAACCGTATTTAAAATTAAACAATATTTGCTATTTTTATTCAATATTTCTTTAATAATTAATTTGCGCGGTTAACCGAAATGTAAGCAAACAATATTTCAAATTTATTATAATAATAATTCAAATCTAAAAAGTGCTGTATGAAGAAAATCAGCATATTTTCACGTCTAGTCAAATGAATGATGTGTTTATATATACATACGTGTTTTGTAACCGATGTGAGAAATAAAAAACTGATTTGAAAACAAATTCGAGTCAATACACTTTTGAATTTCTGAGTGTATTGGAAGTTGGTTTATGCATTCGTTTTGCATCACAGTGAACTTGGTCAAAGCGCCTTATGTGTCGGTATAAACATTGTTATAGACTCACCCTGGGAACTTTTTCGGGATTTTCGGCATTCTCGGACTTACCGATATAATCATCGATATTTTTATCGATTTGGGTATCTGTTTTTATTGATTTGGATATCGATATTTTTATTGATTTCGATTTTGTTAATGATTTTACTATCGATATTGTTATCGATATTTTTATAGATTTGTAAGTCGCTAACAATCGATTAATCGATTTTGTTATCGATATTTTTTATCGATTTTGGTGTCGATATTTTTATTGATTTGGTTATCGATATTTTAATCGATTTTCTTATTGCTTTTGATATCTACTCAACCTGGGATCTATTTCGGGATTCTCGGCATTCTCGGGAGTTACCGATATAATAATCGATATTTTTATCGATTATGTTATCATTTTGGGTTTCGATATTTTTATTGATTTGGTTATCGATATTTTTATTCGTTTCGATTTTGTTATTGATTTTGATATCGATATTTTTATCGACTTTGCTATCGATTTTTTATCGATAATTTTATGTAACATCATATGACAGAACTACACATGATATGACATCATTGGGCATGACATGACATCCTATCACGTCATTTCACATTATATCAAGTCATCGCACCTCACATCATCATCTAGGAGAATATGTAGATGAAGAAAAGGATAAGAGCAAAGATTTAAAAGATAAAAACAAAGATGTAAGCTAGATGTGTAACGTAAGTTTCACTTCTCCAGTGTGGCCCAGGCGCACTTACTTTTTTTTTAAATACCTATACAATATTTATGTAAATACATACCTATACAAAAATATATTCATTTTTTTTTTTTTTTTTTTTTTTTTTTATACATTTCAATTGGCCCTGGGCCATTTAAAGACAACCACCCGCTTTTCTGACTATAAATGATGAAGCGTGGCAATCAAAATGAAGAGTAAGCAGTGAAAATTGTTTAAGATTTCAATTTCAACATGAAAATGATTTTGCACATTTATTTAATTTTTTTATTTTGTTTTTTTTTTTCAATAAGTAGGTCAAATGCACTTGTGCGTTTAATTTAGAAATACTCACAATGACTAGATGATTCATTTTATTTTGGTGGATTCACAAGCGAAAATCAAATGCATTTTATAAATAAGCACACATGTTTGTGTTTATGTACATTATATTTTCGTATGCATCAAAATAACGAATAATAACATTTCAACCATATTTTAGCTTCTATTAAATCCAACTCGCAATCATTCAACAACTGAAGCACACCGAAAATAACTCAAAAATCTCGATTCTTGGTGAAAAGATATGTATTGAGAATAACTCTTTTTCGAGTGAGGGGAGCCTTGAACACAAAAAATTTCAACTTAAGCAAATTGTATTGTAGATTTGTAACAAAATTTCAATTTCGACTTAAAGGTACCGTTGAAAATGTGTTTCAAACACAAGCGTCACTGAATTGTTGCAGGTCCCTACTATTACGGGTCCGGGCAACACCAATGAGACTATAAAACTGACCACTAACGGGACATGCTGGTTTTTCGAAGAGAAACTCACATTATCGTGTTAAGAGCTGAATAACCGACCGTAAAGATGGTATTAAATTTTGTGGCTTGGTTCTTATGAATGCAGACATAACCCAGCAAAAGCTTTTCGTTTTTTGGTAACCACTTATTTTTGTATCGATGGAATAGCGCACTACAATATGCCTCAAGACGAAGAAATTTTACACTTATTCGCTTTCCCGCTGCTGGTTATGCAGGGGATAACAAATTTTACATTTTCCAAAAAAATCTAAGTTTTTGCTGGTAAGTAAAAATGCTCATCGTTCAGGGACGTTAATAATACTTATATGTATGTACATATGTATGTATGTATGATGTATGTGTGTACAGAGCCAACGCCATTTCACCGTTTGCAGTTTACTCAGTTTCGTATAAATTGCAATAAAAGTGGTGTCGTCATCACTTGCTCTCACTAACTTCCATTTGACTCATTTCTGGCGAAATACTATTCTGCAACGTAAAATATTTTTATGTATATGTATGTATGGCGTGCTTTGTGTTCGCATAGATAAACATAAGTATATGTATGTGTCGGATCCTGTAATAAATTTAGAGCATCAGTTAGATGCTTGGGTAGAGTGGCGCGCACTGTATCAAGTTCTACTTGTTTAAGAATTTTCAAACGGGTGAATAATAGGTGTTGAAATAAAAATGGTGAAAAATCATGATTCAATTATTAAAGGTTTTGTAAGTAGCTTTTTTCTAAAATT